CTCTTAATTGCCTAAGCGAACTAAGTATTACGTTTGCTTTAATTTTACGACTATAGGAGTATAGATATTTCGCGTACGTATATACTAGCGCGGGCGGTTTAACTAGACTAGGTAATTAAACGTTAGCTTTAAAGGTAGCTAAAAATAGCTATTCTATATATAGGGATATAGAGAGGGTAAAATAAAGGGTAGATTATACTATTATAGAGTAAGTAGAGGCGTAGGCTTAGGTACGGTCCGTTAAAAGAAGGTTAATAATCTATAAAGGGGAAAAAGAAGAGAAGTATAGGCCTAGCCTATATAGGTATAGAGGCCGCTTATATATAGACTTAGCCTAGACCTTAGTCTAGGCCTATATAAGGCAAAAGCCCTTATACCTTAACCCCCTTATAAAGGCCTATATATAAGAGTCTTTAACTATTATAGGTAATAGGCTTAGGCTACGGCCTAAGCTATATAGTTACGTATAGAGGGCCGGATCCTATATATATAAGGGCGGGCTAGCCGTATATAAAAGAGCTCTATATAGCTTATTAATATTATCCTATAGACGGCACCTATATATACGCCTCTACTTACTCCGTAATACTATATTCTTATAAATAGCTAAGCTATTATAAGGAAGGTTATAGGTTTCTTAGACCTAGCTATATATATTAAAAGGCTCTTATTTAACTTAGAAGTATTTTATAATATATAGCTATACTAGTGCCCTAGCTACCTAGGGATCTTTAGTAATAAGCTAGCTAACTAGCTAGATAAAAGAGGCTTAGGGGCCCCTACCTAAGGGACCTCTTTAGTTTTTATTAGCTACTTATAAAGAAAGGTCTAGTAAGCTACTAAGGACTATTAAAAGGGCCTCTAGGCTACTAAGGCGGCTAAAGGCCCTAAGGCTAAGAGCCTAGGTAAGTATTATATATCTATTTAAAAGACCCCCCGCCTAGCCCTTAGCTAGGAAAAGGACCTTATAGGGAGGCCTAGGCTAACCCTCTTAGCCTTTTACTAGCTCCTCTTTAAGGCCGGCTTCTTATTTTCCTTTTTAAAAAGGACTAATAAGGTAGACTAAGACGACTACCGCTATAGCTAAGGAAGGTATACGGCTAAGCACCTTATCTTAAGGTGCCTAAATTATAAGGGGAAAAGAGAGGTCCTTTACTAGACCTCTAAGAGATAAAAAAGGGCCCTTAGCCTACCTATTCCCTATAGCTCTAAGGAAGGAAGGGAAGACCTTTTAACCTTCTTAGCTAAAATAAAGATAGGGATAGCTAAGTAGCTAGAAAAGGGGTAACCTAGGGGCCCTAGGGCCCTTAAGGGGGAAAAATATACTTTAAGAGGAACTAAAATAACCTTTCTTTTATTATTACCTTTATAGCTATCCTTTCCTTAATTAGTTATAAGCCCCTAGGCTCTATAGCTAGCTAGGACTACTAATAGGGGCCTAGTCCTTTACTAGCCTCGCTATAGCCTTAGAGGCTATATATAAGTAATAATATAATTTTTTTTTACTTAGGTATAAGGTTATAAGTATTATAGGCTTCGTTTAAGTCGTCTTACTATATAAGGGTATTAAGGAGAGAGAAGAGGGTCTATTATAGCGCTGGTAATAGCTTTAAATTAATATATATATATGTGTGTGCGTGTATAGGCGGGCGGGGGCGCGGGCGTTTAGGCGGTACCGCTACCTGCGATGCGGGCGCGGTATAAATGGGCGGGGCGGGCTAGTGTCAGTACGTATCTTAAAAGTGGGACCTTTATGCGAATTGCGATGGGTCTTTGTACAAATAGTATTACTCAATATAACAGACCGGAGCGGCAGGCCTGCTTCTCACACATATCTTGCCGGCTGCTGCGTTTATGCGGGCATCGTGACAATGATGAGTAGCCTCCAACGCGCCCTTCCAGAAGATTTCCATCGAATCGTGGTGGAGACGGAAGTCGACGATGAATTTATGCTAACTTAGCTATTGCGATGCTAGCTATATCACAAGCGCTGGTGGCAGCGACTCGAGGCATCCTTTTAACGGTCGAAATAGCTTACAAAAACACGCGATGCAGGGATCAACAACTCAGTGAGGGATACGTACAGCCGACAAGGATGCAGGGAATTTGCGCACTAAATTTGGGTGGGCCATATCCCTCTTGTCCGCCTTCTTTTTTGCAAGGCGTTGTGGATCAGGCCCTATATGTCGCTAAGATGAAATGCCAATCTAGGAGGCCCAGGCGAACAAGGCCATAATCTACGTAATGTCAGCGGCGGGACATATAGAGTCAAGACCCTAAATTAACCCTTAAGTCAGCTCACCCACTTGGGGGCACACCCACTTAAGGGCACGTCTCCACAACACCAACGCGCCGACTGACTCGTACATCACAACCGCGAATTCTCGTGCATCTTATACTTAATTATTATTAAAAAAACATCATTCGAATCAGCAATATCTTAGCTTTCCAAATATACTAAAGATCAGCTTCAGAACGCTCTAGCTAATATTAAATTCGGCATAGGTCAGGTGCAGGCTAGTCGGAAGTAGGGTATTCCAAGGACGACACTTTAGAAACGCCTTAAAGGTGCCTAACCGAAGAGAGAGGCATACGAATGCTATCAGAGGCTTAGCCGAGAGCAAGAGAAACACCTCCGGGATTGGGTTCTTGCCCAAGCCGCCCAAACTCCCAACGCATCTCCAGCTAAGGAATTCGCCGGCCGTATTATCACGGCTGCAGGCGACACCCGCCTACTTGGAAAACACTGGGTAGCAGGCTTTTTAGCCCGAAATCCAGAGGTTAGCACGATCAAAGGTAAAGCTCTCGATTCTGCTCGCATTAACGGCGCTTCTATGGCCCGGATCAAGGAGTGGTTCTAGTTACTCAAGCTCCCGGCTTTATAGGCCATTCCCCCGGAATCACGCTTTAATATAGACGAGATAGGTATCCTCGAAGGCCTCGGCTGCAACGGCCTCGTGCTAGGGAGCTCAGAGAAGAAGGAGACGCTTAAGAAGCGGCTTGGGTCGCGTTGTTGGACTATAATAGTAGAATGCGTCTCTGCTACTGGCCGGGCCTTAACTCCTCTTATAATCTTTAAAGGTTAGGACCTTTAACACCAATGGTTCCCTGAAGAACTCGACTTTCTAAAGGATTGGGACTTTATAGCCTCTCTAAAGGGCTAGACGAGCGACTCTATCGCGATTCAATGGCTCAAGTAGGTCTTTATCCCACAAACAAGAAGCTAGCCACAAGGCAACGTCCTCTTAATTGTAGATGGCCACGGAAGCTATTAGACTGACGATTTTATATACGAATGCTTCCTACACGGCATATATCTCCTTTTTCTACCTCTACACGCCTCGCACGTCCTTCAACCTCTCGATATCTCGATTTTTTCGCCGATTAAAGCTACCTACCGACGTCAACTCCAAAAAATCGCTTCTCTCGACGATACAGCACCAATTAGCAAGGCACTTTTCCTTCGCTGCTATTATTAGGCCCGGCAGGCCGGCCTAACCGAGAAAAATATTAAAGGGGGGTGGCGAGGGACAGGACTTTGGCCAGTTAATATGGCAAAGCCATTAATGAGCCGCTTCGTCTTGCCCGCGCCGTCAACGCCGTCACCACTAAAGAGGAAGAAGAATTTAGGCTTAATAGACAATAGCGATGCCCTCAAAACACCGAGACGATCGCAGGAAGTCCGTAGGCTTATTGGGGGGCTCGAAAATCGCGGTCAAGTTGACCGTACGATCCGTGTGCTTTTTAGCAAAGTTGGCCGCAGCCTTAATCGTCAGAACACGTAGCTTGCAACGGCACAGCTACGCATACAACAGCTTGAGCATCAATTATATCGTCTACGGCCTCAAAAGCAACGAAAAATCGCCTAAGATCCAAATGGCCGGTTTATACGGATTGAACAAGTCATCAAGACGAGGAAACAGCTTCAACGCGCCCTTGAGCCGTCTGCCGTCGCAACAGCCAGTCAGAAGGCGGATTTTGAAGCTCTATGTGGAAGCTGGCAGCTAGAATAGTAGGAAAACACCATAATTAAGTATCGCGATGTAAAAACGCGGCTTTAATTGCTATTAGAATATGCTGTCTTGGTTGTATGAGACGTGCCCTTAAGTGGGTGTGCCCCCAAGTGGGTGAGCTGACTTATCGGCGGAGCCGAGTAGTCGAGGCTAGAGAGCTTCCCGCCTTGGAGGCATTAATACACGAATCGTCATCAAACCAGTCGACGGCCCTATTCTGGGATTGCCGATCTTGACTCAACCATGAGATGATTCATGCCTGTTCACAGTGTATATAAGCATTTTAGACTGTTGATTCATGAAACTCAACAAGTCTTAGCATGCCCCTCAAACGTCGTGTAAGATGCTCAGTAGTATTTCTTAGCGTATTTTTTAAGGGTAGTATAGAGGTAGCTTCTTGTACTCGTAAGAGCTGCGGGACTGCCAATAAGATGCATTTCGTCATAGAGCATAATTTCGCGGCATCTTCAACATGATAAGTTTGAGTCACGTTGTCTCAGTCATCGCGTTCTAGTCTGCTTATAACCTCGGATTTTAGGTTTCAAGTCCCTCTTCATCGTGTCACAAACCTCGATAACACTCGGGAGACCGTCCGACGACTGCATATGTGGTACCATGCCCTTACCCCCCCCCGTCGTCCCGAGTTCAAAAGCCAACAAATTTTCACTTCGAAGGGGGGCAGGGCAAGGGGCCAGTTGAGATGGGAGACGAGTCGAGGTTTCCAGAAAAAAGAGTTGAAGAGTAAAGCCTGTGCTAGACGGATACATATTATTTACTGGCACGTGGTGTAGTGCGTGCATAAATGTCTATAATAATGATATAACGTCTATACTGTAAGATTGCAGAGTGTAAAGGGTATTGAATGAAGTACGCGCCGGACCTGTTTAAGTCCGTCTATCTGCGACTTGCCGAGTGTTGTTTGATAATTACCGAGTAGCTGCAGTTGGTCAGTATTATACCGGTCTCGTTTCTCGAACGGGTATGTGCTTACGCTACAATGCCGGATATAGCCAAGATGATTCCAATAATCGACTTGTCGCCGATGGCGCGTCCGGACACTATCCAGCCAAGGACCACGATAGTGCACGTCTTGAGATGCCCAACGACGGTGCTGGACACGGCGCCCGCCTGAGCCACGATGAAGAATTGGGATATGTTTATCAACAACGCGAACACGCCAGACTGGGAAGAATCAGCCAAGAGGTCGAGGTCATGGAAGGGATAACGAACGAGAAGAATCATCAGCCACCTTGACAGAGGCACTGCGGTCCATTGCGGAAGGGTGTCGCAAAATGGGATAGCATAAACGAGTAGCAAGGACGCGATTGGTGCTTGGTTATAGAGTAGCTGCATGCTACTCATCTTAAGTTCGGTATGATAGTTACCGACCCAGATGGTATAGAGGGACGAGGCAAAGATGCCGGAGAAGGCGAAGACGATGCCCAACGAAGAGGTCGTCTTCACAGTTGCATCGCTTGCCGGTAGGGAGTCGTAGTAGGAGACCACGCCCACGCCTATACAGACCGGGATCAGGGAGATGATGGCCATCCTTGGCAGCGTCGCTCGGTAGAGCACGAAATTTAGTATGGCGACGACGGGCGTGAGCAGGATGCGCGCAACTTGATAGAAGGTAACAGAGGAAAACGCCAGGGAGAGGTTCGGGAGGACCACGTTTAGGCACATGGCCATGGCGAGCGGCACTAACTTCCGAAACGGCGCGTGCCTTGGAACGAAGAAGGCGAACCGAGGCCTGGAGAGGACGAACAAAGCCAGCCACGTTGCCATAAAGTGGAAACAGGCGAAGGCAAGTTGGCAGAGCTTCCATGATGGATCCGAGAAGATGGCTTTGTTGACAAAGACCTAATAGCGACGTTAGAGCGTGACGACATACTAGCATCTTGAACGGTGTACATACAATTCCAACTGTTGCCAGCGTGTTGACTACTATCCAGAATACGGCCTTAACGGAGCTGGGTGGCGACTGCTCCAACTGTGTCTCTGATAGAGACACGGGCAGAGCAGATTCGCAGTCGTCGGTGCCTAATAGATCTATGAGTTTTTCCCCCATCTTGAGAGGGTCGATCAAACGTTGGTTGCTCTGCAAGGCCTTCCTCTGGGACGGAATGGTGACAATGATGATGGCTTGACAGGAAGCAAGTCCACTCTCGTATGCTGCTCACACCAGGGCCAGAAGCTCGTGAAGGACCGGTGCGTCAATTATGCCAGGTGGCCCAAATGTGGTCCTGTAGTATGAATGGGAGGTGGCCGGGATTATCGAAGCCCGAGAGCCTGGGGTCTGCGGTAGAGCCGTGGGATATAGCACAATATGAACGCCAGCACTGCTGGAATCCGTACTAATGCTATATATCCCCCACTTGATGTCTCGCCCGAGTCATTTTCCTGCTCCTGGCTTTCAAGATCGATTTACCGTCCTAATAAGGGAGGGAGACGAGCCCGGTTGCAAGCGATTGACACAGTACGCTGAGAGATTGACTGTGTGGGCTACCCCGACCCGCAACGCAAGCCTTGGTGCTGGTAACTCTAAAGCAAGCGTGTTATGGACCGCCTTTTACCCTAATTAAGCCTAGGGAGGCCAAATAGTGGATGTGCGAAAGATGTGCCATTGTCTACCTCTGCCAAGTGTCGAAATCTCAGCTTGGCAAAGCGAAGCACGAGTCAGAAGAAGGGCGTTAAGTCGTCTTGGGACTAAAGATTGGATATAGGCACCAACCACCGTTATGCATGTTTTCAACGAGTCAGCGCCTGGTCTACTTGTTATTAGTTGAACTTTAACAGGGAGCCCACTAATTAATCTCGCCAGAGGTCCTTCTATTCGCGCTTGTACATGCTGCTACATGGCACTGGTGACTTTATGCGCCGAGGAACATTTGTCAAAGAGGTAGGGTTATTGACTATTAGAGGGCCCCCCTGATTACAGTTCTTAGGGTCTCACCAAGAATCGGATGCATTATGTACAGGAGTATATGTATAGAGGGGCCTTTGAAAGGTTATGACTTGGTCCAGTGGCTTATAGGGGGCTCACACGGGAACTGTCGCGTCACGACTTTTCCTCCGTACGCTTAGTCAAAGGCACATTGTTACAGGCAGTAATTACGTAAATTGCGTAAAGACGTAAGTAACTTCGTATAAGTTTGGCCAATTCCATAACATGAAGATTTTCTCCTTTTGGCTCTAAATTATATGCTGTAAGTATCTGATTTCTTCCCGGGCACGCATATACATGCAACTGAATCCTCGTCGTTGACTATACGGAGCAATGCACCCCCAGGTTACTACCCTCTATCTCAGCCTTGCCACGAGGCCGCGGACAATACTAGTCACTGTTCTCGTCCTTGCTTTCGTTCCTTTTCTTGCCTTTGATCTCAGGCCCTAGATGCCTCCTGGCCTTGCCCGAAGTGGCAAGACACGCCTAGACATCGCATCTAGGGACAGATACGTAGCTGTCTGCCTCGCGGTCAAGGACCAGGGGCTCGACCTTCCCAAGTGGCTTTAGCATCACTACTTTAATATAGGCGTCGGCAAATTCTACATCATAGACGATACGTCCCAGCCGCCCATGTCCTCGTTCGTCGACACGCTAGGCGTCCCAGCCTCGGCCATCGAGTTCCATTATAACACAGTTGACGAGCGAGTGCCTACAATGCAACACGCCCTATATAACAAATGCAGCGAACTTAGGCGCGACAAGCACGAGTAGATGGCCTCCTCGACGCCGACGAGTTCCTAGACGCGCCGGGCCCCGAAACACTCCAAGACCTTGCTTAAGGGCTTCGAACCCATCCAGGTCATCGGCGCCGTGGGCGTCAGCTGGCGACTTCACACGTCTAACGGACAGGAAGTGCGGCAGCCGTCTGTGCGAAAGGCCTTTACCGAGTGCATCTCCGACGACGAGGAGCACAATGGCGAGGGCACCGACAACCGCCACATTAAGTCCATCGTTCGCCTTAGGGACTACCACGCCGCGAGCACTCCGCACTATTTCCTCCTTAACAACGATGCTATCACGGTTGGCGAGCACGGCGACCTGGTCAAGGACTCGTTCCGCCTCCCGCCGACGCGCGACAGGCTAGCGATATACCATTACGCAGTCAAGAGCAGGGAAGAGATGGAGGCGAAGATGAGCCGGGGCAATGGCATGGACCAACCCAAGGCCTGAGACTTCTGGGACCATGTCGAGAAAGAGATGCCGCATATGTCGTGCTCGGAAATGGCCCGATGGGTGCAGTAAGCTCGTGCATACTGTCAATCACGGAAACCGGGAACGTGAAAGAACTGACCGTTCGTCCTCTAAACGACTTAGCCTACCTAGACTAAAGACTATAGTATATGACTAGGGTGATGATAATATGGTTAATGCATATAAGAGGTCCTTACACTCGACTTTCTATTATCTCTTCGAAATATAAGCTCCTTTTGACTTCGTAGCAGCACCTACTGGATTTATGATTGGACTTGAATTCCAACCTAAGCCTTGGCGAGAAACCCGATTGTTGGTGGAAGAATGTTAGCGCTTTGCACTTTCCTCGACCGTCGTATGTAGCTATTTATCATCTCGCAATTGCACTATTCTCAGCACAGACGCCAAGGCATTTCAGCAGTTGCGGGATGACAACAAGGTCATGCAAATGTCGCCTGCGACGTAGTTCTATAGCGATGGCATAGCGCCCTCGTTCGGAGAGTAAAGCCTATATCTAGGGGCCGACGCTTCCTCTTGATCTCCTCGAAGGGGAACATTAGAGGCGAAATCTTCAACTACTAGGCAAGATCACTGCCCTTCTCGTCTCGCTAAGGGGCAACCTTAAATCTAATTAGATAGCTCGTCGGCCAGTAAGCATCTTCACCTCGGGACAGTACTGCTCGATAGCCTCTATATGATCAGGTTGCCACCTTGTCGGCTGGTGATAGCCGAGCGGCGTCTCGTAGTAAATCGTCTCGACGGCAAACGTCTTTGCAACGGCCTCGTCTGGGAGGTTAACCCCATTAGCCTCGCGGGCCTTAGATTCAGTGTAAAACCACTGGTCCTCGAAGCCTATGCCACTCGTGTCGAAGCTAGCGTCCCGGGTGATATTAAGGAAGAGCTTCGGGTTGCGGATCGATAGCCCGCCATTATAGCCCACCCCGAACTCGGGGCTGATAGGCGCACCGATGAAGTCGTACTGTAGAAAGTCGTCGATAGCGGCCTCGGCCTTGGAGCAGACGATGCTGTCGGTCTGGAAGAGCAGAATGCGGCGGGCGATCTGCACCTGCTCCCATATCCACGGCTTAGTGAGGAAGCGCGAGACCGACTGGCTATCGCTAAGCGCAGTGTTAGGCGGGAGGAAGCGGACATTGATGCGGCGCTCGTCAAGGGCGCGATGGAATGCCGGCGACGAGGGCACCACCCAGTGCTCCTCGATGGTGAATAACACGATGGTCCATTTGGGGCCCAGCACTGTGGCAAAGTGCAACATATGCGGGACCAGGTTTTCGGTCGTCTGCGTCTCTATGACGACGGCCAGGTTGGAACCCGCGGCCTGCTCCTCCTTCGCGCTAGGGTAATTTTTTTTATATCATTACTCGCATGCAGCCTCTAGGGCCATGGCGAGGCTAGTAGCGGCCTAGGCCCCTATTAGCAGTCCTAGCTAGCTATAGAGCCTAGGGGCTTATAACTAATTAGGGAAAGGGTAGCTATAAAGGCAATAATAAGTCTAGTTCCTCCCGCGCGGTGTTTCCCCCCCCTAAGGGCCCTAGGGCCCCTAGGTTACTTCTTTTCGAGCTACTTAGCTATCCCTATCTCTATTTTAGCTAAGAAGGTTAGAAGGGCTTCCCTTCCTTCCTTAGAGCTATAGAGAATAAGTAGGCTAAGGGCCCCCTTTTATTTCTTAGAGGTCCGGTAAAGGACCTCTCTTTCCCTCTTATAGTTTAGGCACCTTAGGATAAGGTACCTAGCTATATACTTTCCTTAGCCGTAGCGGTAGTCGTCTCGGTTTACCTTTTTAGTCCTTTTTAAGAAGGAAAATAAGAAGCCGGCCTTATAGAGGAGCTAGTAAGATACTAAGAGGGTCGGCCTAGGCCTCCCTATAAGGTCCTTTTCCGGGCTAAGGGCTAGGCGGGGGGTCTTTTAAATAGATATATAGTACTTACCTAGGCTCTTAGCCTTAGGGCCTTTAGCCGCCTTAGTAGCCTAGAGGCCCTTTTAATAGTCCTTAGTAGCTTACTAGACCTTTCTTTATAAGTAGCTAATAAAGACTAAAGAGGTCCCTTAGGTAGGGGCCCCTAAGCCTCTTTTATCTAGCTAGTTAGCTAGCTTATTACTAAAGATCCCTAGGTAGCTAGGGCACTAGTATAGCTATATATTATAAAATACTTCTAAGTTAAATAAGAGCCTTTTAATATATATAGCTAGGTCTAAGAAACTTATAACCTTCCTTATAGCGGCTTAGCTATTTATAAAGATATAGGCCTTTATAAGGGGGTTAAGGGGGCTAAGCCTTAAGGGCTAAGGCCTCCTAGCTAGGTCTTCTAGCACCCTTAGTATCGTAAATAGCTCTATATTAGCTACCTTAATTAAGGGCCCTAGGTTCTTATAATATACTTTAATAGGCTTATTTTCTAAGCTTATTTTATAAAAAGAGTAAGCGTTAGTTTTTATAGGGGACCCCTTAAGGCACCCCTTAGAGCTATTAGTATAAAAGGCTAAGGGCTATAACCTAAAGTCGTTTAAGCTAGCTAAGCTAGCTAAGAGGCGTTAGTACTACTTTTTAGCTAAGGGCTTAAGGGCCTTTATTATTGTAATAAAGGCCTTAAGCTCTAGGGCCTATAAGGGCTCCTAGCTAGCTTTCCTTCTTTCTAAGTTATAATTAAGTCTTATAATAGCTACTAGGCCTTTAAGGAGGCGAACGTACTATATATAGGGCTTAATATAGCTTAAGGCCCTTAAGTTAAAGCTTAAGTTAGCGAGGTTATCTTAACTAACTAAGTCGTAAGCTTACTTTATAGGGTAACTAAGTAAGAAGTATAGGGTCTAAAAGTTATAAGAGAAGTATACCCTTTTAAATTATACCTTTAATAGTAGTAGGGCCGCTTTAACTTTTAAAGCCTTAATAAGGGATCCTTTAAAGGCCTCTAAGACCTTTAAAAGAGCTTAGTTTTAAAGCCTTTAAAAAGGCTTTATAAGGCTCTTAAGGGTCTTAGGCCCCTTATACTAAAGCTAGGCCCTATAGTTTACTATAAAGGTTATATAAGCTTAGTAAAGCTACTTAGAAGCTTTAAATAATAAGCTTTTTTATATAAAGGTTAAGCGGGATAGTCCTTTAAAGGTAGCTTATATAAAGGCTACCTTCTTCTTAATATATTATTTAAATAAGAGCCTAGAATTAAAAAAGACCCCTAGCTACTATACTAAGGGCTTTACTTTAAAAATAAGCCTCTTATTATTATATCCTTTAAAATAAGCTGCCTTTATATATTAAAGTAAATAAGTTTTATCTTTAATAAGTTAAAGTAAACCCCTTAGTCCTTAAATTATTTAAATAAGTTAATAGCTATTACTTTTAGCTACCGAACGTTCTTCTTAGCTAAGGTCGATATTATAAATATACTAAAGTTATTTATATAGGATAGCTACTACCCTTTAGCCGTTAGTATCCCCCTTATATATAAGAGGAATAAAATAAGGCTAATAAGGGACTATTAAAGTACCCTTATTACTAAGTTTATAAGGGGCTAGACTTACCCCTTAAAGGCTAGCTAAATCTTCCTTTTAGTAAGAAAGTAGTTTACCTAGCTTATAAGGGCCTTAAAGAGGTTTAAGTCCCTTAGGGCCCTTATAAGCTATTCCTTTAATATAAAATTAAAAGCGCCCTTTATATTTAATAAGAGGGTACTAGTAATAGCTTTTTTATTAAACTCTTACTTCTTTTAAATATAGTATAAAACGAGGAAGGCTATATTTATAGCTAGCTACTATTTTCGTCCCTTTAGCTATATAAGGTTTAAAAGCCTAGCTATATTAGCTAAATAGCTTAGCTAGGTAGCGTATAGCTTTTTAAGGACCTTTCCTAAGTAGTTAAGTAGACTTATAACCTTATAAGCCTTAGGGATTATATAGTCTAGCTTATTTTACTTAGGAAGTATAATTTCTATAGCTTCCTTTTATACCTTAAGGTAGTATCCTTAGTTAAATAAAGCTTTATATACCCTATTAAAGATTATAAGGAGGGCCTTATATACGTATTAAATAAGAAGGAAGCTAAAGGAGTCTAAGCTAAGGGCTTTCTTATTAAAAGAGCTAAAAATAGCCCTCTTAATCTTAGGGTCTTTTAGCTCTAGCTAGTCCTCCTTAGCTATGCCCTTACTACTTATATAGCTTAAAGGCTCTTCTTTTTCTAAGCTTTAAGAGGAGCTAAGGGTTAGAAAAATAGTTATTAAGAAGGCCTTATATTTTTCTATAAAGGTATTAGCTTTTATCTTTATCCCTTCTTATATATATAAGATACTAAGAAGGGTAAGTTTAGCTTTAGCCTTAATATAAAAAAAAACTATAAAGATATTCTTTCTTAATACTTTTATTAAGAAGCTCTCTTAGTATTACTTTTTAATACCCTTAATAGTATACTTAAAGCTATTTTAAGCCTTTATAAAGCTCTTCTAGCTCTCTTTATCCTAGGCTAGCCTATAAGCCTATTAAGCTAAGCTTAGGACTTTCTAAAAGTAAGTTAGCTTATTAGTCTACTAAGGCTTAGATCCTTTATAAGGCGTCTTTTTTAGTATCGCTATATTTAATACCTTTATAAAGGTTCTTATTAAAAAGGAAGCTATCCCTTTTAAGTCGTTTCTTTTTATAGCCCTCTCTATAACTATAAGGAGGTCTTATTCCTTCTTAGCTAAGTATTTTAAAAAGACCTTTTAGTTTACTTTCCTATAGTTATAAGTAGTAGGCGTAGCTAGTAAGGGCCTATTAGGGCCTCTTAAGCTAGCTTTAAAGGCTATTATAAGAAGGTATAAGTAATAAGCATAGAATTAGGTAATTAATAACGTAAGCGGAAAGATCGGTTAAAGGATTATAGGGTAGGGTTTTATCCGGAATTTATAACGAGTATATAAAGGGCTAAATAATATATTAAAAGAATAGCGCTATAAAGGATACTTATAAACTTACTTATTCTATCTACTACTCCTAGGGAAATCCTTTATCTTTTATAGACTATTGCTCGCCTACTAGTAGACTAATTAGTTAGCTTTCTAGTATATTCTATAGTACTTAAAAAGCTCTATCTATAGTATGTCTTCCTAACTTAGTAGGTGGTCTAATTATAACGTAATTATTAACGTAAGACTATAGGTTCTAGTATAAGTAGTAGATTTAACTAGAATGTTCTATGCCCTACCTATTCTCGTATCGCGGATATCTCTAGAACTGCTAGGCTAAAATAGGTAATAGGGTATCCGTTCTACTCGTAATTAACTTATGCATTTTATATATATTTTATTTTATTAGGATAGGCTTATCTTAACCCGCGTTTCCTAAAGGAAGGTATAGATATCTAGTAAAGGTTTTTATCTTTAAGGGTTATTCCCTTAGACTATATTATAGAGCTACTTTTTACTAGCTTATTTTATAGAGCCTCCCTATGCCTATTATTTCTTTATAATAGTAAAATAAGAATATAAAGGTATATTCTTATAGCTATAGGCTTATAGTTTAAGCTTATAGCCTTTTAAAAGTAAAGGTTAGCTTAGGTTAGCTATTTAAAAGGGCTATAAAAAGCAAGGTTTATAACTAAGGCCCCTTTTAAGCCTTTCTTTTAATAGGTAGTTTTTATAGCTACCTTAAGGTATATTAATAAGGAAGCTTTATAGCGGTCGAGCTAGCTAATAACTACTTTTACTTTATAAGCTTTAAAGGGTTTTATAAAAAGGTTCTAATAAAAGTAATATAAGTTAAAGTCCCTTACTAATAAGAAAGGCTATTATAAAAGTTAGGCTATTAGTAATAGCCTTTTTATTATAAAGGGCCCTTACTAGCCTTAGCTAGCTAAGGCCCTTTTAACCCTTTTTTTATTATATAAGTTAATAAAGGTAAATAGCTTAGTACCTTTTACCTTTATAGCTTATATATTAAGGTCGTAAAAGAGGTTAAAGCTAAGGCTAGCTTTTATCTAAGCTTCTTTTCTTTTATAAGCTATAACCTTAAGCCTCTTAGCGAGTTTAAGAAAGTTAGTAAAGGAGAAATAGGTTATAATATTATAGGCTAAATACTATATAGGGATATAGCTATTATTAATCTTATAAAAGTAAGTATAATAGTATAGGTATTACTTAAATAGTTAATAAGTATATAGTTAATAAGTATAGTTAATTAATAAGCTAAGTAGCTTAGTTAATTTCGTTACTATTTATTATATATATATAATATATTATATATAGTAAAAGGGGGTAGTAGCGCGACTATAGCCTATACCCTTTTAAG